CCCGGCGGTCTCATCCACCAACTGGTCAATGTTTGGCAGTGGGAATGGGTCCATAGGGCATGCCTTATTCAGATCCGTGTAATCCACGCACATGCGGAAAGTAGGAGGCTTTTGTGCGAGGACTACGTTTGCCAACCAAGAAGGGTATTTCACCTCCTTGATGTGTTTGATGGAGAGGAGCATGGATACCTCCTTCTTCACGAACTCCCTTCTCTCGGCCGAGAGGGGTCTCCTTCGCTGTTGCACTGGCCTGGCCGAAGGGTCCACCGCTAGGCGGTGGGTGATAACCCTTCGGTCAATTCCTGGCATGTCTTCCGGCCCCCATGCAAAAACAATGGAGTAGGCGCGGAGGGCATTGGTGATGTCAGCCTTCAGGTCTTCGGGGAGCTTGGCTCCAATCTTCAGGACTCTCTCCGGCTTGGCCGGATCGAGTATCAAGTCTTCGGTCTCCTCGGCAGGCTCAGCCCTCGGCCTGCCTTCTTCCTCCTCCAAGGCCTTGGTGGTGATGGTGTCAACACGAAACTCAGTTTTACTAACCTTCTTGGTAAGCTGAAGGTAGCAGGCCCTGGAGAGTTTTTGGTTCCCCCTCGAATAGCCGATGCCGGTGGGTGTGGGGAACTTGAGGCAGAGGTGCCTCATGGAGATGACGGCTTCCAAGTCCTCGAGGGCAGGCCGGCCGAGGATGATGTTGTGTGCGCAGTCGAGGTTGACGACGACGAATTCCACTTCGAGCTTGGCTCTATGGGATCCGTCGCCGAATTCAACCATGAGAGTGATGACGCCCTCGGCGTCAATGCTGTCCCCCGTAAATCCGGAGAGGGGGGTGTTGATGTGTCGGAGGGACCCCCTGTCGAGTCCCAACTCTTGAAAAGTACTAAGGTACATGACGTTGACAGAACTCCCTGTGTCAACATAAGTTCGGTGGATGATGGCGTCATTAATCTCAGTGCGGATGACGAGGGCATCCCTATGCGGCAGGGAACCCGAGGGGAGGTCCGCATCTGTGAAGAAGATGGGTTCCCCCCTCGGCCTCTTAGTTGGGGGTATGTGATTGACTTCCCCAATGTAAAGGGACTGTGCCCATTTCTTCCTTTGGCTTGTTGAATCGCCTCCGGTGTTGCCGCCGTTGATCATGTGAATGTGGCGCTTGTATTGCTGATGGGAGCCTTCCCCCTCATCTTCGAGGCCCCCAATTTCTCGCTTCTTCCCCTGTGGGTTCCCCAAGGGGATGGTGTTGGGGTTCACCCACTTGTTTGCCTTTGGTGGCGGCCCTTGATGGTGAAGGGGGCCCTGGGGAGGAGGGCCCCTGATAAATTGAGACAAGTGGCCCGCCTGTATCAGCCTCTCGATGGCGTTCTTCAGCTGATGGCAGTCGTCGGTCTTGTGTCCATGGTGGCGGTGGAAGCGGCAATAGGGTTCATCGGGGCCGATGGCATAAATTTCGAGGGGTGTCCGGGAGTCTCGCTCCACGAGCCCCCGTTCTTCCGCATGATCAAGAATGACGCTGACGGGATGCGTCAAGGGAGTACGTGGGTGCTCAAGGAGGACGGGTTGCGCCCATGCCTTCGGGTTGTTTTTGTAACCGCCCCCGGTCCTGGCTTGGCCACCTCGGGGGCGATCATTGTATTGAGCCTCGCGTTGGGCCGGAGGGGGAGGTCCTCCGGGCCTATTCCTGCCCTCATTCTTCTGAGAAGGATCCGTGTTGCGGCGGTCCTTCTCGATTTCCTCCGCTTCAGCGTATCGGTCCCCCCGCTGAAGGGCCTTCGTATAATCGCGGGGGGGGGGGGGGATCAGTGATAAGGCTCCGGGAGAAGTTACCGTTGCGGAGGACGGTGTGGAAGAGGGCCATCAGGGTTCTGTCATCGGCGCCCTCGACTTCGAGGGAGGCCTGCCTCCAGCGTTCCAGGAAACTCCGAAGGGTTTCCTCCTTCTGTTGTCTCACATTCAGAAGGTGGGAGAAGTGTTTCTTTGAGCGGTGCCTCCCAGCAAATTGCGTAAGGAAGCGGTGGGCAAGTTCTTGCCAAGAATCAATGCTGCCTTCGGGCAACCGGTTGAACCACTCATACGCTGGTCCCTCCAAGGTGGAGAGGAACCAACGGCATAAGTATTCATCCGAGGCCCCCATCATCATCATGCTATTTTGATAGCGGCTATAATGCTCTTGGGGATCCGTCTTCCCCTCATACGGCTTGATGGGTTGCCCCCGATATTTGTGGGGGATTTTGGCCGCCAACACCCTTGGGGTGAAGGGTGTTCTAGTACGGAGTTGAATGAGGGGCTCGCCTGAGCCCTCGGCAAGTTTACGTTTCATTTCCTCCACCTGTGCCCGGAGGTCAGCGTACTCCTGATCTGGCCTAGCTGTGGAAGCCGTCGGCGGTGCCTGACGATTCTCCTCAAGTTGGCGGAGGAGGGCCTCGATAATTTCGTCCTTGGGATCCTTCGGGGCAACCCCTTGGGAGTTGGCCCGGAAGGATTGCGCCTGATTGATTTGGTGCCTGGCGTCATCGGCGTGGAGGAGGGCTTTGCCTTTGCTCCGGGGGGGAGGCACGCCCTCGGCACCCGAAGCGGAGGCTCCGCTCTCCTGAGGCCTGCTGAATTCCTGTTTGCCGAGGCGGTCTTGGACCCCTCGGCGTATGGGAGCTCCCCCAAGCCTCTCAAGTGCAGAGGTCCGGGGTTTCTCCTTCATCAAGGGACGTTTATCCCTGGATTGGGCCTCTTGGGAGGCGGTGTCCTGTGCCATGACCCCTTCGGCGTTTCCAATCCCCGGGGGAGGATTGGTGAACAGAGGAGGGAGCGGTGGTAATTGAATAACATTCCCCCCAGCGTAGGGCTGGAGGGGTGCCTGAGAGGCGAGGGCTCCGGAATTGAGAGCCATGTTTTGAACAAAGGCCGCAAAGGCAGCCTGAAGATCGATGGCCGAGGCCGGAGGAGGAACTTGGTTCTCACTCCGATCCCTCCTTCGATTATCAAGGCCAATGCGGGCATCGGGGGTGTTCTTCTGCAGCTGCTGACGTAGGTCAGCGGTGGCTTGCTCTAATTCGAGGATGACACCACCCTCGGGTACTAAGAGCCTGTTGGAGGCCTCAGCCCCGTTAGTTTCGCCGGGGGCTACGTAGTTTTCCTCAAGGGTCTTGGATTGGGCACGGGTGGTTCTTCCCATTTTTGGTAAGGGTTTGTGTTTGGTAGAGGGGGAGGGTTTCTTACTTGATAGTTCAGACCTCTCAACGAGAGCACCAAATGATGGATAGTCTACCCGGGGGGGTATCTTATCCGAGGGGTTATTGCGAGAATAACTTAGAGAGAAGTCAGAGCAAAATAGGAGGAGAGAGAGTCGATTTATTAAAATGAACTCAGCGTGGTTTACAAGGCGAATAAGGGCTGCTATTTATAGCAGCAATAAATGCGATGAGGGTACACGTGTCAGTAATCCAACGGCCGAAGGGTCACATCAGCCTGGTGGCACCGGCAGTGGTACGTTTACCGCATTGAATGCGGTTGGCGGATGTGACGTGGCATTAAATGCGGTGGTTGGCTGTCCCCAAAAGGAATCTTCGATGATTGAGCATCTTTGGCCGAAGGCTTCTTGTGTAGCCGAGGGCTCCGTGTAACCAAGGACCCCTGTGTAGCCGAAGGCCCCGAGTGGCAGAGGGCTAAGTTCAGCCGAAGGCTCCCCTGATGCCGAGGGCTTGGCAAGCCCGAAGGCTCATGTTTTTCGCCGTTTTCTCCCAGTGGCTCCGTATGTCAGAGAGGGCTACTTCGTGAGTTTCTGGAGCCTTCGGCCAAGGAGGCCGAAGGCACCCCAGTATGTATTTCGGGCTATTTTGGGGCTTGGGCCGTTGCTTTTGGGCCTGAGTTGTTCTCTGGGCTCATTGGATATGTGTAGCAGAAGTAGGAGTCTATGGGCCGGGGGTTCTTGGGCCATATACTCCATCATATCTATTTTCTTTATGGTTAACTGATGACGTATCAGAATTGCATTGATGTAATACTATCGATTCTTATATCGGTTCTTCTATAAACTTCTAGAATCGAATCAATATAGGATTACTGAATCGAGGGGGTGGACTGGGGACGGCAAGCTAAAGAAGAAGAAGAAGAAGAAGAAGAAGAAGAAGAAGAAGAAGAATGGAAGGAGAGGGGTGGGCGAGCTGGGTTGAAGAAGAAAAAGAAGAAAGATTGAAGAGGAAGGTGTGGCTTGGCTAAAGAAGAGTAGAGTTGGGGGAGGGGAGGAGTAGGCTTGGCCTGAGGCCGGTCTGACTGGCCCGGGACCCGGCCCGGCCCGCCACTGTGCGGGACCGACCCGGCCCGTTGGATCGGTACCGGTACCGGGCCTAGGCCCGACCCGGGGGGATTAATTGGGGCGGTTCCGGAACTGCATATTTGAGGACCAGCCCGGCCGGTTTGGGCCCGGTCCGGGCCTTATTTGTTTTCTTTTTTCTTTTTTTTGGGGGGGGGGGGGGGGGTTGGGCCTATGGTAGGTAGGCTGGGTGTTTTGGAGGGGTTTGGGGGGTGAGGGTTGGAATATATAAGAAAACCGAAAAAAAATGAACCAGCCCGGCCCAACCCGGAATTGGCCCGGCCCGATACCAGTGGACACCAGGGCTGATCCCGGGCCTTACCCAAAAAATTCCAAGCCCGGCCGGGCCCGACTCGGAACAGAAACCGGGTCTGGCCCGGTCCATCACTAGGAGGGAGGGGAGGAATGGGGTGGGACGGGATGAAGAACCGATATAAGAAAAGTCCACGGAAATCTTTGGTGAGGAGAAGAGACAATTGTAAAGAATTTTTGCACTAAAAATGAGTTAAAAGTCCACGAGAATCCATGATTTTAGAAGTCAATAAGAATGAACGGAAATTTGAATACGCCTAGACTTTTATAGACTTTTAAAAGTCCGCATTGAATACACCTAAACTTTTGTGGACTTTTAAAAGTCCACATTGAATACACCTAAACTTTTAAAATCCATGGACTTTTAAAATTTTGCCATTAGTTTGTCTTTCTTTTTTTTCTTGAAAGTAAGGGTTAGTTTGTCTTATTCGACATTTTATCCCGAATTTGTTTAGGAAAGCATAGACATAACTATGGCATCCGTGTATTGCAAGTCGTAATTTTGTTTCTGATTTTTTCCACTAATATAGATGTATTAAAGTTACGAACTTGCTTGCTTCTAATATTTCTGTTGTGCATAAAGTTTTTTGAAACGCTCTGCTTGTTTCTATGGTATTCGAAGTGTTCCTATTGAAGTGTCTGTTTCCACAGTAGTACTGTTATTGCCTTTGATTCTTTTGTTGTGATATTCGTTTGTTAAAGAGGTGCTTTGGTGGAAAGTGCTGGTTTTTCATTTTTCGAGTAATCATATAATGCGATTGTATTTTTTATAATTGCTTGTTGATTAATAAGTCATAACATGAAGAGGCTCCATTACTTGAACATTCTTGTTTGTTTCAGTTTATGATGAATTTAATGTATTTTGTTATTCAAAAATGGCAGATAGATCCCTTCATTTAGCTAATCATCATTGTTTGGGGGCAAACAAGTGACTCCTGGGAAGTTCAGGGGAAAAGAGTGGGACAAATGAAATTAACCGGAATAGGAGGCTGGTATGCATCTTTAGTTTAATAGTCATCTGAGTTGCTAATCTATAGAATCTTACAGCCATGGATCTCCCAAAACCAAAGAGGAGAAGTAACCGTCTCCTCTTAAAGCAGAACAAAGAAGTAGCTGAAGATGAGCCCAAGAATAGATTTGGTTGTTTGCCGCCAGAAATCGCCAAGGACATTCTCTCGAGGCTTCCCAATGTCAAATCTATTTTCCAGTCGAGGTCTGTTTGTCGTTCCTGGGAACTCTGGTCTCATGATTCCCATGTTTTCCGGATGCACTTCTCTCGGAGGAGTAGTACATCGTCGAAACTCCTCTATTTCTATTCATCACTTCAAAATGAACTCCACTTTGTCGAATTCTCTGATATTAATGAAAAAGGATTGATTGCAAGGAAAATTGAAAATGCATTTCGCGATCTCACACTAAGATCATTTTCGGTGCGGAGCTCATCTAATGGCATCATGTTCTTAAAAGATTGTTTTAATTTTAAGCGGAAATGCTTTTATAATCCTTTCACAGGGGACTATAAACTTGTACCTGAGGTGGACTCTGGATATTACCCGTTATCTTATTCATATTGGGCTGCATGCCATCCAGTTACCCAAGAGTACAAAGTATTTGCTATACGCCCTGTTTTAGGTTTGACTGAATTTAGGTCAAAAGCCTATGTATATAGTTTGAGTAGAAACGAGTGGACAAGATTAGGAGATTTTCCTTTTAAAGTAGAAGATCGGTCAGGAAATCAAGGAGTTTTGGTCAATGGGAGACTCCACTGTGTGACTGTGAAAAACAAAGGGAAATTGACTCTTCTTCCTAATATAACATCGATTGACATCATGGATTATTCTGTCAAGGAGGTTCCCATGCCTGTGGAGGTTATATTTCGAAATAGTAAAAGATCTCAACTTGTTGTTTTAGGGGAATGTTTGTCGGTTGGCGTAAGAAGAGTTGATTCAAGGGTGCATATTTGGGTGATGAAAACATACGGAATGGAATCATCTTGGGTAAAGCAGTATGTTTTTGGGAGCGAATTTCTTAAGTTTGATCGCAATTGGAGGAGCCATGGGGACGAAATGTTACGGATTGTATGCCTTCTTAACAATGAGGAAATCTTGCTAGCTTATGATGAACGCGAGCAAGGAACTTTGATTGCATACAATTTTGTTACTAAAGGTTATAAGACTCTCACTTTTGGGGGAACGCTGCCAACAACGTCATGTAGTGCAATATTTGATTCATGCTGCTGGTCAGCTTAAGGGTATTTCACACTCACATTCAAATATTGATTTCTTGCTCCTGAAAGAGAAGCATTTGTTTAGACTTTAGACAACTCTTTTGTTGCAGAGAAAAAAATAATTTCATTTGCGGATATTTTTTTTTGCTGCTCTTGTGAAAAATTGAACATAGTTCAATACTTCAATTTATACAGCTACAACACAGGCTGATTTGACCCCTACATTCTTTGGTTCGGGAAGAATTTCCATAAGTTTCAGAATTAGTATTTTAACCCTCAAAATGACCATCAACATTGATATAGTTGATGTTCTGTTGTCTGTAATATTTGATTGGGAACAATAACACACTAGATATTAAATCATATTATAAACATCACGGGTACTTTGGCAATTTCCAAAGGAAACTACATTATGTGCAGACTATATGCATACAGATGTATTACCAATTCTTACCACTCACTTCTTTTTGGTTGTAGAGTAGCAAAGCATATTCAATCTATTTCCAGCTATCTAGATTCAACCATGGTAAACTTCCCGTATCTCATGCTAGATTTTCTGTGATGTAGACATGTCTTGGTGGATTTTCAGGCATTCTTTTTCTTTTTTGTTGTGGTAGCTAAAATGAGGGTGGTACATATTTTGTTTTGTATCTGTTTCTGAGATTCCAATTATGACTTTTCTCCTAAACAGTTCATGCAGATTTCAAAATTGTATGTTTGTGAATTAGTCAGAGGTCTAGATGTGTAGTTTTGGTTTTCATGTATTACACACAACTACTAAACAATTCTTGCCTTTTCATCATAGTTTCAAATGAAATTTCAACTGGTTTTACATAAGTAGGCTTGATCTTTGACTACATTTATACGGAACAAACAATGCCATACTTCTTTTTGTGTTTTAGTATCTGGCTGCATTTTTACATAATTTGCTTCTCCATTAGACCACTTGTGATATTTATATACTTGTTTTAGGATGATTATAGTGATCTATAATTCTATATAGAATGTCCGAATTTACCATTTTACCCTAGCATGAAGCTTTCAATTGTTAAGTTAATATGCCTTCTGTTATATTACAATGCTAAAGTGGTTTAAGGCTCTCAAAAAGTTATAAATGACATATGTTACAATTCAAATGGGTTGATTTGATGTTTTTGAGAGCAATGGTGCAATAAATATTTTTTCTGCAGGCCATTTTGTTTTAAAAATGAAAATAGCTATTTATGATTCTTGCATATGTGATGTGTATAAGTTGCAGCCCTTTCACTTCCTAAGTGTTAAACTTAGCATTTCGTGAGTGGAATGTTCATGTCTTGCTTCTCTCAACCATGCTCCTTTAGTCAAGAGTTACTCTTTCTTAAAAAAGAGTCATGTTTCAACAACTTTTTTAGTCCCTTAAAAGTGCGATTTTAATAGTAAAAAATTCTTTTCCAAGCAATCTTTCTTTAAAGCCAAGCTAAAGCTGGCTTAGTCATTGACTCCAAACAACCTTAGAGATAAGTTTTGGTGGTACAACTAACCATTCATAACTAATTAAACCCTGCACCTTGATTTAGTTCACCCAAAAACAAAATCTAATGATAATGTTACTTAAATTAACACTCCCTTTTTTTCTTTAATGAAGTGTATTATTTATGTAAAATCATATTCTTTCCTCTTTTTTCCTTGCAGGTGAATTTTCCAAAGTCTAAGAAACAAGAGCTTTTGCACAAGGGTACTCAAAACAAGAAGGGTAAGGACAGTGTTTTACATTTTAAGTTGCTCAGGCGGAGCACTTCTTGCGCTTTTACTTTCTCCCTGTTACTTGGATTTAGGTGTAGCCTACAATGCGGTTTCGCCTTTTTGTTTATGACACTTGTTATTATCTCCATTGCTGAATTCCTTGATCTGAATATATGTGTTATAACTTTCTTAAATAGTTATTTATATATGCTCTTCTGCATTATCTCATTGCTCACATGCTAGTGTTCTTGTTTGCCATTCAAAATGAGGGGATCGGAGGACCTGGGCTGTTTTGAGACCGGCCGATTGCCCCCCCCCCCCCCCCCCCCCGAGTGAAACTGGTATATTGTTTCCCTTGTTTGATTCCCGGCCCAGTTACTGATAGTGATTCTAAATTAATTCTTTTCACCATTAATTAATCATAGAATGTATACATTTTGAAATATAACCAAATGCCCCCACCCTTGAAGCCGTAAAAGTTAAGACTAGAACTGGTATGTCGTGTGTATTGAGGTGCTAGCCACTAGGTGGTTCCAGGCTTCCAGCATTCCAGCCCAAAACTCCAAAAACATCCCAAGGTTATTCGGGTTTAGCTAACTTAAATTTGCTATTACATTAATGTCCACTGATCATATTCTTCACTTGGAATTGTATATACCTATCTATCATTCTATCTTCCACTTTGAATAACAAGAAATCGGTTCAATGTAAACGACTTAACGAAACTTATAATGAAAGTAGGATTTCAAACTTTCAGATTTAATGTTTATGAGCTTTTATTTGAATTAGGACAACTCTTACCATGTTTTTATGTATAGTGGTGGATAAGCTTACAAAAGATGGGGATTCAGGTGACGTTCTAATATACTCGGAGGACTAATTATCAAAATAGGACAAAAAGCTAATAAGTTTGCACACATAGGACCAAAACGTGAACTAGTTTTGATAGGACAAATTATGTGTTATATTGAAATGTTACGAAAAATAATAAAAATTCGCAATAAAGTGAACTAGTTTTGATAGCTACGAGTATACCCTTGTAGCTATTGAAATGTTACAAAAAATAATAAAAATTTGTAAAAAATACTAAAGAAATCATAAAAATATTTAAATAATAATAATTTAAAATGTCACATCCATTACGAATGTCATATTTATGGCAGAAACAATGAAAATGTTGGCATTCTCAAAGAGCAATATGTCTTTTTTTTTTGGCATTTTCAAAAGAAAATGCTAGTTTTAGAAAAAACGGCATTTTTTTACACCGGTCGGAGGTGATGGTGCAGGGAAGCAATACAGGCGGTGGGAAAGGCGTCTAATTTAAAAAAACAAAAAAAACAATTTTTAAAAACTAAAAAACACAAAACAAAAAAATCACCGCTACCTCTGCAGCCTAAACACCACCACATTCCGATCAGTGAAATTTTTGGCATTCTCAAGGAGGAGGTCACATGTTTGAATCTCTTCCCTGTGGTCTAATGACATCACTGTGACACTCTCAAGGAGGAGATCACATATTCGAATCTCATCCTAGTTTAAGGATGTTGGACTTAATGAGCAGATACTATAATGTTAGAAAAATTTATCCGAAAAAAGGATATCCGTTCACATTTTAGTTGAAATAAATAATATTAATTACTTTGGTTCTGAAACTATTTGGATGTACTAAATTTAGTAATTTATATTACTTATTAAATTTTAAAAACACTTTCAAACAAATGATGTGTTTTGAGAAATATTAGAATAAAAAAGGTAGTATTTTTATATTGTTCTTTATGTCTGGTAAAGAAGAGTATAAATTCATTGAATTTATTATATGAATTCATTGGTTTTATTATTATCATTATCATTATACATAACACAAATTATAATTTTTAACAATTAAAAATTAGAGAAAAGTACAGAAAAGGTAGTTGTGGTTGAGCCTGTTTTCAGATATGGTCATGCGCTTCATTCTTTATCAAAGTGGTTCATGTGTTTGAATTCCGTTATCACAAGAGGGTCACACCGTTAAAAACGTCTGAGAAAGACGGTTAAAAGTAACTCCGATTTTCAAAAGTGCCCGAAAAATGAAAAGAAAAATACCGAAAGGGGCGCCTCAATAAGACGATTACTAGGCCCATCATTCTTTTTTGTTTTCAGCCATCCCTGTCACCGGATGTGATATCAGCGAAATCATTTTTACGTTCTGTGTATCTCTCTTCTACGCTCTGTGTATCTCTCTTCTACGTTGTGTACATCTCTCTCTTATACGCTTTGTACATCTCTCTTCTAACCATCGTTCATTGTCATCCGATTTCTGTGTCCGTTAACATCTTAACTATTTGAACGATTGTACCCCATTTGTGATTCAATGAACGCTATATTTATTAATTTGTTCTTTGTTAATGTTTTGTAAATTTGTTTTCGATTTTCAGTATTTCTCTGTTTTTATTGTCATTCTTTAAATGTGTTAATTTTCAAAAGTCTTTAGACTGTTATTCATGTTAATTTGATGATTTTTAAATACCTTTCACCTCACGTCATTTGTAAATAGATCCGTCTAGATCTGTGAATATATGCGGATTTGTTAATAGATTTTTGTAGATCTGTGAATCGGTGGTTCATGCATGTCTAAATATGAGATATGTATCATTTTTTGCATTTAGATCTTTCTAGATCTATCAATTTTGGTTCATCCATGTAATAATATCATATATGTAGCATTTGTTGCGTTTAGATCTGTCTAGATCTATGCATTTGTGATGCTTAAATGTCTTGATATGAGATGTGTGTAATTTTTTTGCACCTACATCTCTTTCTAAATCTAAAAATTTGGGGTGTGTCCATGCCCTAATAATCAGTTTTGTATTTTTTTTTTGTTTTGGCATTTAAATCTGTCTAGATCTACGCATTTCTGGTTCGTACATGTCTACATATCAAATATGTACCAAATTTCTTGGTTCATTGAACATAAATTGTACTGATCTGAATTGCGTGTGTTTTTACTTCTACCAAACCGATTCTATACGATCATTTCTTTGAAAACTCCTAAGACATACATGGTATATTGGACCATGAGTTTTGGCTTGCCAAATTCCATGCCTACCATTAAATGGCCTTTGGATCTGCACAATTTGACAGGTTGACCTATTACTTAGTACATTGGTTTAACGAATGTTTGTAGCTCGACCAAACTTATTTTTTGAAATATGATTTAATTAACTACATTCGTTTGTCAAGTCTAAAGTAACTGCTGGCTTTTGGGGCCTGAGCATGGGGTTGTCAGATTCCCTGCCAACCACTCTATGGCATTCGGATCTGCATGGTTTGACAACCAAGTGCTTAATGCCCATTGTCGAGTACCACTACTTAAGCCCAAATTAAAGAAAATGTTGACCCATCTAGCATCTTATTGTTGGGCCTATTTATTCACCTCCACACATGACTAAATAACTGACCCATGTGTGATTTTTTAGTTATCAAACAATTACTCTAATTATTTTAGATATGTTTTTTAATTTCACCTTAGAAGATAAACCTCCTCATATTTAAAATGTTCTCAAATACATTACATGTATTATTTATATCGATTTGTTATATGCATGTGTACTGTTTTGTAGCAAGAAATATACATATAGTATTATTAACTACACTCACTTATAGATGCCAGAACACTGCATACTCACTAATAGTATTATGAACTACAATCAGATAATTCATAGTCATCATTCATCATTCAAACAACCATACATTCAACATATGAAGTCTGTTAGAAATCCATGCCAAAATAGATGCCTTTCACGCATTGTACACTTCACTCCTGTTACATATTCATGTCAAAATCACACATATGCTTAGCTAAGTTTGCCTCTAGTTATCCACTCAAAAGAAATGCCTAAAATCATGTCTGCATTATTAAAGCATTTTTTATTTAGTTTTGAAATTCGATCGGATTTTCTTGGTAATATAGCAGATGCATCCAACCATGCTGCACAATCTTTGCATAAGTACCCCTCTGTCACCTGTTCTTGTTTACTGGCCGCATGCAGTAATAGTGACTATAGTTTGAGTGACACAATGAGCATGCATCCATAAAAAGCCACAACAATATTTCCCACACGAATGGCATCCCCCAGTTGAATATGCATGACATGAACACTCACTCATCTTGAAAGTGTAGAATACAACATAGGTTATGTAAAAATAAATTCATAATCAAAATGCATGACATTCTCACTTATATTTGGTAATATAGATCATCTAATTTTCAAAATCATTCCTTATAAATGCATATAATAAATATGTTATCAGACTTACATTTGATTGGGAATGAATGACATGTGGTCAATATATGAACTTCACTCCTTGTGAGGGATGCTCTGATTTGAAATTTTGTTGTGACTCATTAATGAATTCATAAGGTTGTTGAAGCATTAATATGTACTTATGTTATCCACAATGTGAAGATGGGCAAAGATTGTTGGTAAGTAGCTATTCGTGTGAAAATTTATTATGATTGTCGCCTGAAATTTTTATTGAATGCAACCATGAAAACACACTATTTTCAACTACATTGGCCAGATTTGGTATGCTATACTCAGCTACCAGCTATACTCACCAGTTCTTTACTATGCTATTTTTTGAAGATGCTATACTCAGCTTTAATATTTTGGCCATATTTGGTATATTCAACAGAAGTTCTACATAGTTTGTTTACAAACTATTTTAAATCTATTATATTAGTATTATATTATTTATATTAATCTTATTAATATAAAATTAGTAATTGTTTTACACCTTTTCAAAAATATACTTTTTTCTAAACATTTTGTAAGGCCTACGTGTTGTGAGTGTGTGTTATATGTAGAATATAATAGTAGACCAATATCAAATGTGCTCAAAATTTTAAAATCTCGTAATATATATTATAATTCTGTGATAAAAAATTGAAAATTTAATCAGTTTTGATGTAATCCTATAAATTTTTGTAAATTTATAAATTTAACAATTTAAATTTACAATGTAAATTGACAATTCAAATTAACAATGTAAATTTATGTAAATTTGAACACATTATAAATATAATGTTTGATGTTTAAATAGTACTAATATCTTATTTAACTGTTTGATGCTCTTGCATCAGTCAATAATAAATCTTATACCATGATAAACATTTAAATGATTAGCATCTCCAATGCTACAAGGTGCACGATGCACATGTGACATGAGAGAGATAGACACAAAAGATTGATT